AGCGAAATGCGATTTACACAGAGATCCAATCCCTGAAGCAAGGTTGAGATAGCTACAACATTCCTATTTTCCTCAATGCTCAACACAACTCAATGCCAATCTGTTAAAATATATTTCATTTGCAGCCTCTCTGCAAATCTGCTTTCATGCACAATTATAAAAATCAGGTGATAGTTGATCGCTGCACATAAAAAAGTGTTATACTGCATTAGCCTCAGTAACAGTAAATGGTAACTTGAATAAGGGTTGAGAAAAGCGGGTGGGTTTTGGTTATGTTTCAGTGTGTGGACTGTACTTACTGAAGCATTAGATGAGAAGATGAGGGAAAAGTATGTGAGGCTTCAGGGATGACTTCTAGGTTTTTCCCTTGAGCAATTTGGTGGATGATGGCAATATTTACCAGATAAGAATGATTATCAGGATTGATAGGGAGAAGATTAAGAGCTCTCTACATAGAGATGTCTATTGGATTTTGTTTTCAGCAAGGGACAGATATGAAGCAGGCAGGTACATATGCAAATCTAGAATTCAGTGTTGAATGTATTATGATGGCTCAGAAAGATAACTTCAAAAGCATTGTAAATGAAACATAAAATAGACTGTATCCTGATGATATCATGTGTCTAAAAGATGTTTTGTTTTTGTTGTTTATTTATTTTTATCTTCTGGGAAATTACATCATGTTTGTAGTCTAGAGATATGAGGAGACATAGGTTGCAGATACCAGAAATATGGATAATGTTGTAAATTTCTCCTTCTCTAGGGAACTCATGGCAAATATCTTCTTTGCATCTAAATATCAGCAGTTGTAGGGCCGGCTGAGTGGCTTAGTTGGTTAAGAGCTCGCTCAAGAGTTTGAGCTCTGAGCAACAGTGGTTCGAGTCAGCCCGAGCTGAGCAGCCGCGGAGCTGCCAACAGGTGGCGGGATGGCTCAGCTAAAAAAAAAAAAATATATATCAGCAGTTGTAACAAAAAAGAATTTCTCTAAAACTACATTTTCTCCCTCCATTCTCATAGGCCAGCTTCCACATATAGCTTTTGATTTGACTGGATAATGGTTAATTAGAAACTCTATCAACATTAACCAATTATAATGAGTGATGATCTTTCTTACTAAATTTCATTAAAAATTGATCCCAGTGATATATGAGTAGTGAATTTTATAAGTTAATTTATGACCTTGTCAGTGTGCCTGTACATGTAAAATCTGCACCCAGGCCATGTGTTATGATCATAATTGTTTTTGTGCATAGTAAAAGTTTTCTAGTTCTAGATTTTATTAAAAATGTTTAAAACTTCTCAGAAGAACAGTGTATTACTGAATATAATTTACTTTCTCAAACCTCAAGGCTAAAAATAATAGGAAAGAAACTAATCATGTAAAACTTCATTGAGTAGTACAACATTTCTCAACCTGCAAATGAAAGGAACACTTAACTTGATTTCCAGAGTTGTGTTTTAAAAGATTTTTGCCTCAAGATGTAAATGCTTTAATTCTTTTCTGGGCAATGTGATACTCTGTTACAATGAAAATTAACTTGAACCATCTGAGTGTTCTGCAGAGAGAAAAGAATGGTTACTATCGAAGAAATTAAAAAAATTTTACATTACTTCATTGTAGCAAAGATTTTAAGAGCTTTTATGGAGGCTGGAGATTCAACAAACAGATCAGTAATATGCCATAGAACAGTGCCCAAAGAATATACACGTTAGAGTTTAGATCATTTCAGTGATGCACTGAAGCACAATTGGAGGGATATAATTCTGGCACCGAGAGCTGAGAAATGACAGTAGCAGATGGATTGCACCAGTCTGCAGCAATCAGAGATAACTTGCTCTGTTTGAATGGTTGAATTTTATACTTTGGAAGGCTACTAGATTCCTGCAAGCCAGAGGCTTCAAAAGATAAACTATTTGTCCAATGAGCCCAGAAGGAAACATTAAGTCTGTTAGTTTCAATCATTTACTTGCATAGGCAATCATGCCCTTGGGATGAACATCTTTAGACACAAATGTCAATAATCAAACGGCTTTACAGGTGGAGGATAATAGTGACTAATTCACAGGCACCCTCCCCCTTCACCTCTTGCAAATACCAATGCAATAGGGAATCAGCAGCTTATATTTTCCCTTTATTCCAATTTTTAACCTGACCCAAAATCGTGTTCTACTAGGCTGCAGCCAAACTGGCAAGTTGGAATGATATGGCAAATCTGGTTTGTTGTGGCTCATGTAGATAGCTCTGCCAGGGACAGGAACTGGTTCTTTCCACCAGACTAGTGTAATCTGACCCTCATTTACACACACACTCGGGGTGCCAAAAAAATGTATACAAGTGAACACTTTGGTCAACATTGCTCAAGCAGTGGTTTGCCATAATCAGAAGTGTCTGGACGCTGATGGTAACCACTTTGAGCACCTCTTGTAATTGCAGAAGTCAAATGTGACTTGTGTTCATCTTTTGGTATCAGTATATACTGAGTATTACAATTTTAATAGTTTTCCTTTCTTGAAATGTGCGTACATTTTTTGGCACCCTGTGTGTGTGTGTGTGTGTGTGTGTGTGTGTGTGTGTGTGTGTACATATATATAAACACTAATCAGAAATTTCTGTGAATAAAGCAAATGGAAGCATGAACACTAGTATGTTATATGGAGCTTAGCACACTGACATTGGAGAGGAGAATGCAATAACCTCTGATCAAGTTCAATATAAGGAATATTAATAATAGTTTCACTAAGTATAAATAATAAAAATTGTGGTTCTCAATATCAGTGGAAATTGGCTTTGTCTAAACAAAATTCTAGAGGCGCAAAAGATTTAAGTTAAACTAAGCAGCTAATGGTTGCTTCGATCATTTCTATTGCACTAAGTGAATTTAAAATTACTGAAATTACTTGAAATTACTTTCAAGTAAATATTAAAAAGGTCTTTTCTTTAAAAAATAGGTTTGGACATAAAGACTTGATTCATTCAACAACAAAAAGAACACCTCAAAGTCTTTTAGAAAACTTTGAGCTAATACATATATAGTAAAACCTTGGTTTGCGAGCATAGTTTGTTGTGGAAATATGCTTGTAATCTGAAGCACTTGTATATCAAAGCAAATTTCCCCATAAGAAATAATAGAAACTTAGACGATTCATTCCACAACCCAAAAATATTCATATAAAAATGATTACAGTACTGTAATATAATACAAAATAATAAACTACAAAATATAAAGAAAAATAAACAGTCACCTGCACTTACCTTTGAAAGCCTTCGTGGCTGGTGTGAGGGACACAAGAGCGAGGAGGGTTATTGTGTAGGACGACTTTCACTGTCACTAACGGAATCACTGCTAACTATTGGCTCAATGGAATCTTTTTCTTTCGTGCAACTTTAACAAGGAACCTATCCAATGACACTTGCTTTTGCCTCCTTTTGAGGATTTCGCGGAAATGTGACATTGCATTGTCGTTAAATAGACTCACTTACACTGCTACAGCCTTATGTGGGTGGTGTTTTTCTACAAAATTTTGCACTGTTTCCCGCATTTTACACATCTCCCTAATCTCATTTGAAGTGATGGGTTCCTCCGCCTTTTTCTCCTCCTCCTCTGTAGACGGGATCTCCTCTAAACTCTTGCTGATGCTCACGATGCAGATCCACCAGAGAACCATTGGCTCAGTTGTGATCATGTGACATTCGGCTTCACGTACTACTCGTATTGCAAGACATCACTCGTTTATCAAGTTAAAATTTATTATAATAAATAGAAATGTTTGCTCACTTTGTGGAACACTCACAGAACAAGTTACTCGCAATCCAAGGTTTTACTGTATTTCTTTCCATCTGAATTCTGCTAGACACAGCCAGACTACATCAAGGTGACTGGGCCTCTAAGTTGCTTATGATCAGAGGACATCACATTGTATGCCAATGACATTTCTGATTTTGTAACCAGTTATCCACTGAATGTGACAGCCACACATATTTTGCAGCAGGCAAACTTTTGAATTTGGCTCTATGCTGAATTTGGTAATCTTTATATAACAGGAGGTATTGACACAGGTTGTGGGAATGCTGGATACCATTTTTTTTTCATAATTATCACTTGGATTTTTGAAGCTTTAGTTCAACTCAGTATATACATTGATACACACATTTTGTTTCTCTTTTGCTTAGTTTGAATACATGTCTAAGGTAGAAAATTAATGCCAAATGTTGGATTTTTTTCCATGCCCCTTGGTCATTGTTAAATTTTAATTCATCAATAAGTATGTAATATATTTAGTTACACATAGTAGCCACCCTTTACAAACCTTCAGAGTATATGATGTAAGAGCTGTGATTTTATGAAACAAAACAGTAAATCTAAAGGAAATGTCCAATTTCTTACATATACATGCATGGGATTATCATCCTAGTTGTTAAGTACACTGTTGGTGGTACAGATAGTACTACATACCAAACAATGCATCTTAAGGCAAGTGGCACTGCCAAGTTCTTTGGAACAGACTTTTCAAAACTAGAATCCATACATTGTGCAGCAGCATGATTAAAATGGTGACCAGCAATTTGTCAGAAACGTCCCACTGACTTTGAGTAGAAGGCACCTTCTTCTAGAGACACGAGATTAAACCGAGGCAAAAAAACAAAAAAATCCCCTTGAATTTTGTAAAGTAGCATCAAAAACTTGCAGAATAGGTATCTGACATCCACAGCTTGGAGGAAAACTCAGGCAGTGGTGTGGTGGAGACACTCAGAAAACACAGCTTTACCATTATCTTTGATAGCACAGAAAGTGGTACTGGCTGGAAACATGGATAGCAATAATGCAAGCTAAAAACTGCTTCAGAAAAGTTTGATTCTGAATATGAAGTGTTAGAATAGTCTTGACCACATTTCAATATTTCATTTTGTTTCTTTATATGTATATGCAAGTGAGTGAAATAAAAATCTATACTTGTGTATTTAAAAAAAATCTCCAATAAATAAATATAAAACCTCCAAGTAACAAAGAAAGCAGAGTCATATTTTATTGGTAGTGTTTTCTTGTTCAGTGGCACATAAAATGGTGACTCAATAATTCATGGCACTTTAGATTATACAATGAAATATAAAGATTATAGACTTAGATACCATATTGAACATTTAATACATGATAAACACATCATATCCTCTGAAAGCTGTGCAAGTAAATCAGTAAATGCTAAGCAATAGCAACCATATATCTTCACTTTGTTCCTGTAAAGAATCTTGAAAAAAGAAAAAACAAAACCCCACAAATATCATAATTGAGGGCTGCAGACAAGTCATTTCTGGTTTACTATTTTCATATGGATAGGCCAATATATAAATAAAGTGGCACAGGTCCATTCTTATTTCAGTTTATTAATGTGAAAACACAGAACTCTGACAAGCATTTTATCTAATCATCAGACTTGTATATGAAGACATTTCACATATGTGCTTATACCAAAATAGGGATGCATAATTTGGGATTCAGCCAATTTTTATTTTCTTGAAGCTGTTTATCATCCGTATATTTTCTCAGTCTTTGTATTCTTCTGGCTCCTTCCTGCTGCCTATCTTTTGGCTATATATTACTGCTCCATGAGTGAATGGACAGGAAATAAAAAACAGAAAGTAAAATCGTCCACCTGGTAATTTAACAGTTCTAAGGGATTAATAAGAGAGGATGAAAGTAATGTCCCAAATGAATTGATAAGATTATCAGTGAATCTCAGTTATTCCTACTCTCTCCTCCACATAGATAGCTGAGTTTTGTGCATGTGTATGTTTTCCTATGGATGAAAATTTAGGAAACATTTTTGAGATACACAAATACGTGCTCAAGTTTATAAGGATAAAATTACACATATACCTTTTTTTTCATTTTGATAAGATCAATAAATGAGGCAGATTTTTTTCATCAGTTTCAGACAATCACAGTATTTTAAGCAGACTTAATCTGAAAATTTCAGTTATGAATTTGTTTCTGAAAAAATATTTCTGCAGTATTCCCACAGTGCTTTGGAGACCCTACAGAATGCCATTTTGATTAGTTCATCTGAATAGGGCTCCTAAGTTTAAGGAAAGAGCTGCCAATAAACACTTGGAACTTTGTTGGAACCAAAACCAAGAAGATGGAAAAACTCTACAGGTATGTTTAGAAAATTACCTTTAAAATTACTACAGTATCATGTAACAAAACAATGTTCCACATGCCATCTTATTGAAAGAAAAATGAAGTGATAAACATCCAAAAAAATCTTTTAACTTACAGCCTTGAAATCCTAATTCTTTTATCAAAAAAATGATTTATCTGTATTTTTGTTAGTAATGTTATGCTACAGCAATTAATATATAATTTTCATTAATTCATTTAATTGAAACAAAAAAAAGTCTACAGAAGACTGTATTTGGTATACAATATTTAAGCTAAATCAGACTGTTTTCTACTCAAAGTAATTTCTAGAAAAATTTGCTCCCTGTAAGTTAGCATGTCTTCTACATCTTTGTAAACAAGCATTTCTTCAATGGACAACAGCTTGTAGTTATTCAGGCTGAATGGTGACTTGTTTTGTACAGCATTTAACATCGTTAGGGACGTTGTAACTGAATCACTCAGAGAAGAACAAACCGGGAAAATACGAGCATTCCACAAACTCAAACATGTCTTGTTTCCAGAAAACAGATCTTCTGTAACTTTCAGGTTCCAAATATCTAAGCATGACAGAAAACAGACTCCAAAGAACTGAAGTGACTTTATATCTGACAATGTTTTAACATTCTTTTTCAACTTGTCTCGCACTCCAAATGCCATTGTTGAATACTTTAAGTGTCCATTCATCTTCAAGCTTAAGGAACACACAAAGGAATCCGCAGGCAGGACAGCTGCTGTTATGACATAAGAACCACTAATAATGCAGTTTTCTCCAACTGAAACGTCAGGCCCTAATCTGGAATACTCCACAACGGAGCCAGGTGCTACAGAACAGCTTGAATCCAGTATGCTGTGAATGATACAGGATGTGTTATCAGAGCATCCAGGTATCACTGGAAAGATGCTAAAAGCGATGGACTGTAAGCCAAGCTCTGACTTAAGACTGCTGTCTGAGGCAAAGTGAAACAAATATTCTTCGGTTGTTCCAATGTGATAAAATTTGGAGTTATTAAGAACAACAACATTCAGTGATGTTCCTTTAAGAAGATCAAATATTCTCTGCCTCATGTCTACTAACTCTGACTCTTCTTTGGTGACATTGGATGTGTTTCTGGTATACTCCACAGTTGCTCCAGGTCCCAAAGCCTGCAGGAAGTCTCCATAGGCATCTATTTCACAGTTCAGTATGCCTATTTTTTCATAAAAAGCAAGTAACGTTCTTGCTGATTTATGATCCATGTAAAACAGGCTATCTGTGTAGACATACTCACGGTCTAATATAAGGGAGGTGGTGTCACCCCCAGCAAAGTCCTGCTGAGAAACATTTCCAGGTCTACACACAGCATTAAACTGATGCATCTTTTCTATGCTGGGTTTATGAAGGAAACGATGACAGCACCTGTATTCAAGGTCTCTACGTTCTAAACAATTAAATGGCTCTAAGACAAATACTCCATGTGTGGTGCCTACAGTCAAACTAGAAGGATGAGCTAAGGCAGTAAAGCCAGGCTTATCAAACCTAATAAACTCAGATTCTCCAGTACTATAAAGTTCAATATCATCTGCACAGGTAACTAGAATCCCAGGATTCATATGTGAGGGGAAATCAATGTACATGGCTAGCTTTAATTCTAACATCTGATAAATGGGGTTACCAAAAGGGAAAGCAGTGAAAATTTTCCCCAGAGCACTTGCATTTGGAAGGCGTTGACTGTAGCCACCTAAAAAATTAAACAAAAATAACTGTTTTAAACTGTTTGCATCATTGTTTACAAGATTTTAGAAACCCAGGGGCATCAGTTGCAACTCAATTGATGTATTCAATATCTAAATAGATTAAATATCTACAGATATTTAATACAATGCATTACGGTAATTCAGGAACAAATAATAAATTCCAGATTATAAATTCAAAAAACAATTCTCCTGTATCATTTGACATATTGTAGTTTTAAAGATTCTAGATGAGGAAATAATTCTAATATACTTTAGAACATGTGAATTGTTTTGAATCAATTGTATAGCTAGTAAAAAGGACCAGAGGCTAAAACATCTATATTTTAAACAACAAATTTCAACCATATTTAATCTCCTATAATAAGAATACACTCCATGGGGGGGAAAAGTAAAAAAAAAATAATATACCAATTCCAACATTATCTATTAAACAGTAATTTCCAGATGGAATGTCTTCCCTCAAATTATTACATATACTTAAAGGAAGTAAAGGTGCATTTATTTAAAAGCATTTTAAAATTTATGCTTGTTTTTAATTTAAATAGGCTTTTCACTCTAAGATGAGCCTTATGGCTTAATTCCTTAAAACGTGTGTTCTCTTAAATACATTAAATAGCTTACATCATTTTTATGTTAAGTAATTATAATGAGAGGCAGTATTATAAAGTACAAAGAGTCAGACAAAATTGGGTTCAAACTCTGGTTCATCACTTTTTAGTTGTTTATCATTGGATTCACTCTAAATCAGCAAATGTAGAATAATAGTTGTTTTATCATGTTTTATGAAATCATATAATGCATGTAAAGGACTGGCACATAGTATAATACATTGTCCAACAAATGAGAGCTAATACTTACTTTCTCCTTTTTCCTTTTCCAAAGAGTAGCCAATAGTAAAATTTATCATTATTGGAATTATATATTTCTAAGTATATATTTTCTGGTATCTAATTTTTACTAAATTGGTAATATAATACTTGTTCTGGGATAAAATTATAAATTTGATTTTTGAAAAAATTTTTTCACTCTACTTTCAGTCAGCCTTAAAAAAGAACCTGGATGCTTTCTTTACTTGTTATCATTCATATACAGAATCATTATTTTGTAGATGAAATAAGAAATGAAAAGTGCCTTGGAAGCCATGCTGCCAGTCCATGACAAAGTTTTCATTAGCTCCCAATTCACAGAGAAAAATAAAAGGTTTTCACATAACCAAAATTTTCATACAACTATAGTTATCCAATTTAAAAAAGTATACTGTTCTGAGATTATTTCTTTCCTACTGTTCTGTTTTGAAATGTCTTTTTTGTGTATAACTGTCCTTCATATATTTTCTTGTCAATTCCATGTTTTGTCCTTTTTTTTAAACTCTTTTTAAGGACTATAGACTTTGGCTACCAATAATCTAATAAAAATGCATCACATAGGTTTTGGCAAAAGTGTGGTAATAGAGGTGCTAAACCAGTCTCTCTCCTACAGCAAGAATTCCTTTTAAACCATTATCAAGAAATATTCATATTTTGGTGAATTCTGTCTTAAGAAAATAATTTTGTATTTACAAACCAAAAACAGTATCTATGAAAATTTGATGATGTATGTGATCTACAATTTTAAGGATAAATTTTGTGAAACACATTATACTACTTACAACTTAAAAATATCATGAAAAGCATGTAATATTTATTTTCAAAACAGAATAATTTCAAAGACAAAAAAAAAGGGAGGGAGGAGTGTTTACAAGAGAGAAACAAGTTCCTAAGATGTCAAAGATGAAATCCTGAAAAGAAAACAAAATAGATTAAAGACTTAAATATAAGACCCAAAGCATAAAACTCCTGGAAGAAAATACAGGAAGTAAACTCTCCGATATTACCCTTAGTAATATTACTGATATATCTCTTCTGGTAAGGGAAACAAAAGAAAAAATAAACAAACGGGACTATATGAAACTAAAAAGTTTTTCACAGCAAAGGAAATAAATTATCATTAACAAAACAAAAAGACATCCTACTGAATGGGAGAAGATAGTTGCCAATGATAAATTTGATAAGGGGTTAATATCCAAAATTTGTAAAAAAAAGTCATACAACACCAAAGAAAAACAAACAAAAAAACCCCCAAAAATCCCAATTAAAAAATGGGTAGAGGATATGAAGAGACATTTCTCCAAAGAGGACATACAGATGTCCAACAGACACATGAAAAGATGTTCAACGTCACTAATCATTAGAGAAATACAGCTTAAAACCACAATGAGATACCACCTCACACCTGTCAGAATGGCTATCATCAATAAATTAACAGACAAGTGCTGGTCAGGATGTAGAGAAAAAGGAACCCTTGTGCACTATTGGTGGATTGCAGATTGGTGCAGCCATTATGGAAAATCGAATGGAGGTTCCTCAAAAAATTAAAAATAGAACTACCTTATGACCCAGCAATTCCACTCCTGAGACTTTATCCAAAGAAATCCAAAACGCTAATTCAAAAAAATATATGCATGCCTATGATTACTGCAGTGCTATTCACAATAGCCAAGATATAAAAACAACCGAAATGCCCATCATAGATAACAGGATAAAGAAATTATGGTACATTTATACAATGGAGTATTACTCAGCCATAAAAAGAATGAAATCCTACCACTTGAAACAACATGGATGAACCTAGAAGATATTATGCTATGTGAAATAAGTCAGACTGAGAAAGACAACCACTATATTATCTCACTTATGTGGAATCTAAAGGAAAGAATAAATGGGCAATCAAAATATTAATAGACTCATAGATACAGAGAAAAAACTGATGGTTGCTAGAGAGGAGGTGAGTGGGGAATGGGGGAGAAGGTGAAGGGATTAGAAATTACAAACTGGTAGTCACAAAACAGTCATGGGGATGTGAGATACATTATGGGTAATATAGTCAATAATGTTCTAAAAACTATGTAGGGTGTCAGATGGGTACTGACTTATTGGGGGAATCACTTCATAGATTGTGTAGATGTCTGACCACTGCACTGTACACCTGAAGCTGATGCAGAATAATACTGAATGTCAACTATAATTAAGTACACATATATATGCGTGTGTGTGGTCATGGGATGTAAAGTATAGCATAGAGAGTATATTTAATGGTATTATAATAGCTATTTACGATGTCAGGTGGGTAGTAGACTTGTGGGGGTATCACTGTGTGAAGGGTGTAAATGTCTAATCATTATGTTGTTGTTGTACACTTGAAACTAATAAAAAAAGAAAAAAATGTAAATTATTAAAGTATAACTTTACCAGAGTGAATTAATAGGATGGTAAAAGAATTCCATTTATCGCCATATAGCTTTTCCAAACATCGAAGGGCACAAAGTGTCGATCCTCCGTTTCCTTAAAGATAAAGTTAAAAAAGCACAATTTATTTCGTAGAAACCTACTTGTGATTATGGTAAATTTAGGTGTTTTAACTTTGAGTATATGACTTTTGGCTGTAATTAACTAGGCAGAGAGCAAAAAATACAGGCAAAAGAATGAAAGACACATTTCATAGCAATTAAATAGATAAATAAACAAAAAATTAGTAATGAAACCCAGAGATCAGCCCTCAGTAACAAATGAGCTAATCATCTCCTAAAAATTGTAATACAAAAAGAAGACATGATGAAGTAAGCAATCTGCAACACTGGAAAACTTGACGTATATACATTCATTTGGAGTCGCAAATTGCAAAACTCATTTAAATAATTCTCCCACATGATATAATCAAATATGCAAGTTAAATTTGCTTTCTAAAAAATTTTTTTAGAATCTGGTTTCCAATAAAATATCTTAAATGTAACTACCTCTTACTAGTTACCTTGGGCAGATTATTTAATTTTCTATGCCTCAGATTCTCATCTATACAATGGGAATCATAAAGTACTGACTGCAGTTGTGAGGGTTAAAACATAGGCTAATTAGAACAATGCCAATGTCAGTTATAGATACCCTACCTCGGTTTTAAGGGGCTTCAAGCTTTAAATATTACATGGAAAATGGCCCCCAAAAAACAGCATGGATTTTTATTTGCAATGAAAGGTCAAAAGGCAAATTTGACTTAAATTGGATTTTTAAATTAAATATCTATGACACTTGAGCAACTACACTCTTTTGCATTCTGCATTGTGGTCCCAAGAAGTCAAGTAGTATAATTTTTTTTTCTTCATGTAAATTTCTGAAGAAACTGCAGTTTGGAGGGACCTTAAGAGCCCAATTAATAAGGACCAAAAGATTATTCATCAGCTGAGTAAATCTTATTAAAACTAGTCAAGTTCTCATTTTAAATAACATAACATTGTGAAAAGTTTTCATGTAATTCACAGTGTGTAAGAAAGTGCTACGCCTTTTATCATTCTTAAAAAACTAGTGAATTTACATTAAATTTTAAAGTTTATAAAGACTATGGTGAGAAGATATACAGCTTATAAACTGTAAGCCACAGGAAAACTCTTCTTCAATGATTACTCTGCTCAGAATCTATTATATAAATCTGACCATACATACGTACCAATTTTGGCTCCAGCAGGATCAACAAAAACATGATATTGAACTCCAAGGGGTAACTCCCTTTTTTTCAGCTTTTCTGATAGCTGTTGCTTATAAGCAAGTTCCTGTTTTTCATCAGCTGCTGTTATTGCAACAACGTCCCAGAACTCTCCAGCTGCTACAGGTTTGCCTATGTGAAAAAAGCAAGGAAATGATAAATATTAGCAGAATTCTATCTGTTAAAGGTTTACATATTTGGAAAGAGGGAAAAAAGGAGGTAATATTATCATCTTCATAAATGTATCTTCTGCTTTTGAGAATTGGGAACTAATAGTTCCCAATTAGGCAGTTAGTATGATTCAAAATAGTTCTAATGAAGACTGTTCACAAGGACTTTTTTGTTTGTTTTTTGCTTTTGGATTACTTAATGCTTTTATGGTCTACAGGCCCATTTATGTAGATAGTCTGAAAGATGTAATGTTTCTTCATTAAGAGAAGTTCTTTTGACTTGCTAAAGATTACCTCAATTCTTAAATAAGAGAAGACAAAGGAACACATAAATGTATCTCCAAGTTCTGAGAAGCAATTTTCATATATCAGGACCATTTTAGTGTTGGTTTGCTAAGAAAGATTCAACCCAAGGATCCATTCCTATAATCCTGCTGTTTTTGAATGTGGGTACTTTATTTTTTATTAGCTGAGCCATGCAATTTTACAAAGGCTAATAAAGTATGATATAACATTTTGGATAACACATAAGTTCCCAACTCCCTGATGAACTCTTCACGACAGAACTCTAAACACTACAATTTTCATAATATCTAAATGAATGGGCCTGTAGACCATAAAAGGAGCAAGTAATCTAAAAGAGAAAAAAATACTTTATGAACAATCCTTATTAGAACTATTTTGAATCATACTAATTGGCCACTAATTCTTCAATTCTCAAAACAGACTGAACTTTTGGTAGATAGTTGGAAGCTTTCTTTATTGATAAACAAGATGGAAAGGGTTTGTATTAATTAACAAACATGACTTGTCAGCTAGAATTTAATAGTCTTGAATACTGTCATCCCTACTATTTCCTGTATTTTTAAAGCAGTAACTTCATAAAAAATATAACCAAATTTTATTTCAGACAGTTGTACAGGGAATGACAAGTGGCATAGCCTTGAAAAAAATTTCGATACAAACCCCCTTTTTAATTTTTAATCCGTAACTCCTCTGTGCTTTATTTTGTTTTTATTCAGTAGGCATTAACATTACAGAACTGGTGAAATAGGTAGGGGGCAGGGGTGGGAGAAGGCTAAAATCACATTGATAAGGGTCAAACACCATGCTTTTGATCTTTCAGATTCATTTAAAGTAACTTTTGTTAATGAGCTAACCAAATGCATTAACTTGTATTTATAGCTTCACGGTCAGGTTAATAATTTTCTCCTCTCTCTCTCTCTCTAAATCTATCTATCTATCTATCTATCTATCTATCTATCTATCTATCTATGTATAAAACTAGGAATAAAGTTAAAGAAAGTAACAAGCATAACGGAAAGAAAACACAGTGACAGAAAAGAATTAAAAATTCAAGGAGTATTAGCTATGCCTGGGCCAGTGTTCTAGGACCACAGGTGACATGCAGACTGGAAGCGATTGCCAGCCAGCCCAGCAAATTTCCGGGCACGTAAAGGACCCTCCCTCTCGATTGCTGGGAAGAGCTGGGGTTCTTCCTTTGGTACCTCTCAGCTCTGAAAACCTCCGCAACTTTCGCTGAGTGGCTTCTCGCAGAGAAACGCCTGGAGAAGCACTTGCAGCAGCCATAATCCCACCTTTGCCTCGGCTGGCCGAAAACTTCCAGGTATCCCGCCACTCAGCACACCACGCATGCGCCCTGGAAAGCACTACGTCCCTAGGTCCGGTTTCGCCTGTTCCGCCCCTTACGTACGTCACGGACGTAACCACGCCCCCCGAAGTTCTCAGGCCTGCCCTGGGAAGACAGTGATGGGGTGATCGCAGAGCTCCGTTTCCTTAGCAACGGTCTCTGGAGCGGAGGGCCACCTAGCGATTTGTTGGACTGTGCGGGTACTGGCCACTTGTTCACAACTCGAAACGCCTTGCAGATCGGTTGACCCGGTGAGTGGTTCAAGTTGGCCGACAAAATTGCTAGAACCGACCCACGAAACTACAACCTAGTTTCCAGCTTTGTCTCAAAAGGCGAGTCGTCTTTTCTGACTCTTAGTTTGTTTCATCTAGGAGCAGTTCCCAAGGACCTCTTTACAGTTAATTCCTGCCAAGTTGGTCATCTGAAAACCTTCTATCCCAGGTCCACACACAGTGTGAATGCTTAAAATTTGTATTCTCTTCAGCAACCTTAGGCTTGTGGCTTTTTTGCCTTTGCAAGTTCCTAGAGAGTGAGCCTTCCCACACCGTTCAGTTTTGCTTTCACCGTGCTGGCTTTGGAAGTTGAATATAATTCTGCATCCAGGCCCTTAACATTTGTCGTTATTTCTCTAGCATCCTTTGATATATACACATTAATCAAAAACTTTCAATAACTCCTAGGAATAAGTCAGCCTTATTAGATATGTTTTTGGTAGGTTAGGTCTATAAGTATTTCTCTTGTAAAGCACCAAGTTTATAATGCGTTTTATAGATTAATCTCTTCATCTTTACACATAAGAAATTTATGAATCAGAGTAGTGACTTAGTCAAGGCCTCACAATTAGTAAGCAGTGGAGAGATTTTATAGCAAGATATTTCAATCCCAAATGCATAAATCATTCTACCACCCCATGTGATTTGATTTATTTTATGAAGCCTGTCTTCATTAAAGTCTTTATCAGGAACATAGGTATTCAAGGCCCACAAGCTCTTGTCATGAACTTAGTTTTTCCTCTAAAGACTTGACCCTGTTATTTAATTCTGTACTTACAGAGAAAGTATTTGGATAAAGAGGGAGATTACTCTTTCACAGTTTTATTGCTTAGGAGGTTGTTTTTTTTTTGTTAATAAAAACAATATATTCTTATTAAGAACGTTTAGAAAATAGAGAAGACTTGAGTAAGGTGAGAGTATGCCAAAGAGAAAGCAGGAGAGAAAGTCAGAAAGATGACAGAGGCCCAAAGAAAGGATTTTATTTTTTTACTGAGTGCAACAGCCATTGCAGGGCTTTGATGTGACTTGCTTTATGTTTAAAAGATCACTCAGTAATGTGAAAATAGACTGTAATGGAGGGAAGGGTAAGGACAGAAGGAGGGAGACTTATTTGTTTATTGGTTACTACAGTAATACAGGTATGACTTGGTGAAGGCTTGGCCAGGATGGTAACAGTGGTGATGATGAGAAGTTGGTTTGATTCTGGATATATTTTGAAGGCATGATCAATATAATTTGCTAATGGAATGGCTGTGGAATGTGCGAGAAAGGAGTCAGGGATGACTGGCTGCCTGAAGGATGGCCATCAACTGAGATGCGAATGGCTATGGATGAGGAATGTTGGTAGGGTAGTAGGGACACTCCAGAATTTGGTTTTGGACATGTAGAATAACCAGGTGTACATGTATGCAGTGCATATGTTATGCAACTTTGTGTGTGTATGTGTCTGTGTGCATTATACATATGAATCTGGTGTTCATGAGAGAGGTCTGGGCTAGAGATACAATTTTGGGAGTTGTCAACATATGGCTAAAGTTAATTTTAAACTATGAATTAGATGAGATCCCAAGAGAAAAAAGGTCAGTAGAGACTGCATGTTCAGGGACTGTATATACTGATGAGGTAAAATCAACAATTACCCAAATAAAAAAAATTACCCGAACAAGAAAATTTCAGATAGTGATAAAAACTGTGAGAGAACTAAAACAGGGCGATATGATAGAGTCTTATCACACAGAGTATTAAATACAGCATTTCTTGCACCTGGGAAGGATAACCACAAAAATGGGTTTTATTTTTTTCCTGATATGATTAGATTACTTCCATAAAATGTGCTGGAAGTAAATATACCACATTAACAGGTATGGCTTCTGGTTTTTCCTCTTTTCGGTTTTTCTCCAATTTTTATTCATATTAATTTTTAAGTAAAAAATTAAAAAAAATATATTGTATACTATATGAGTGGGAGTAAATTTCCTTGGTGGTTGATTGTAGGGAATAAAAAGTCTAGGGATTTTATTTCAGTTTATATTTAGTATAATGAAACAGTGTGATTGTTTACTGTAGTCATAGGCTAACGTAACCAGAATAAAATGTGCCAATACAGCTAAATAGTAAACCCAATATTCTGTACAAGTAAAACACAATGGAAATGATATGTTTTACCTTAGATTCCACATTTTAAAAGGAGTATCAGACAACATGAACTATAATAAGTTGAAAAATGATATTCTATGGAGGCATTTGGGCTTGTTTTCTATGAGAGGATAATAGAGAGTATCTGAAGAAGTGCCAGAAAGAAAAGTGAGATACATTTTTTAAAATGAAGGTATACTTTATATATCATTAACTTCACTTGCTGTAAGTGAACAATTTAATAATCGGTTTAGTAAGTTTACTGAGTTGTACACCAATCACTGAACAAGACCAGCTCGCTCAACCGAACGCCCCTGGCTCATCAGCCAGGAGCTCACCGAACGGGTCCCTGAGAGGACTGGGTGGGAGACGAGAAATAAAAGAAAAGAGAGACGAAGTGTGAGGACAGGAGGGACTCAGTCTGCTGGTGGCAAACTAAGGCCTCATTTATTGGACATACAAGATTCTTAAGGGGAAGCACTTTCCTCATTTTAGGAAGCAATTCCCTAAAGCTAAAACTCATGGGCTGAGGAGAAGCAATTTCTCCTCAGCAACAAGCTATGTCATACTCAATATAAACCAATGATATAGCTAAGCAAAGTTAAACTGAGGCAAATAGAAACTGTCTACAGTCCACAGTAGAAGTCCCAAGCATGTGAAATAGGTCCATGGTGGAAAGTCCCAGAGTGGTGATGTATGTTGAAACTGCAAGTCCATAGTCCATGAGCAACTGAGTCCCTTTGTCCATAAGCTTTTCCTATCAGCAAGCTGGAGTCTTTACTCTTTGCACTTGCGTTATTTGGAAGCAGTTTAAGGCAGAAGCACTGTCCCAAAGGTCCCCACCAAACCACTCCAAGGCTGCTCACGCCAGGCCTGTATCTACCTGGAGACTCAAGCTTGCCAACCTAAAGCCTCAGTGTCCCTGGCTGATCCCAGCCAGCTCCCAACATCTCCCCGTTTTTTGTTTTTTAAGAGCCCTGAATTAACTAGGCCATGTCCCAAACAGACCTTAGGTTGTCTAAGCCGAGGTTGGCCAAAAGAGCATTGATATAACTAGGTGGGGGCTGGCATCATTGACTAACCAGCTGCTTGGCCTCTGACCCCCTACGACTGCACCTGGGTTAGGTTTTCCCTCACTCAGGGCTCTTACCCGTCATTGGCTGACCAGCCCTCCTGGGGGTCAGGTCCCACAACGCCAAGTGAGGGGGTAGGAGTGAGATGATGACTTTGGAACAGAGAGAACATCGGCCATAGGACTTATTGGCTGCAAGGTACCAAGAGACACTGAATGTAGGGTGAACACCATGGAGACAGCCTAATAGTGGACCCGCGGATGGCGGGACAGCAGACGCCAGGTCCAGAGTCTCCGTCACCTTTCCAACGCCAGATGTATGTTGGTCCCCAGAGACATCGCGAGCTATGGGCTTCTACCTTGAGGTCTTTATCGTGAACTCTACTAATTGTAGCACAAACTACCATACTAAAAAACAGCAGGAATAGAAGAATAAGGAGATGGACAAAAAGAGTGGATCGTGGGGTGAGCAGTGCTGTGTGTGTGTGGGTGGAATCAGCGTCGCCTCAGGCATGGATGTTCAACCTCCATCATGAGCCGAATGCGACGAGCCTTCAGGCTAAGAGCCTGAAGACGAGCTTTGAGGATTGCTCCACGAACTGAAATTATAATTGATATGAGTAGCAAGAAAATCACAGTAGCGAGTAGGATCCAGGACATTATCTGGAGAACACTGAGGGCTTAAATTTGCCAAGATAATTTAAAATGGAGTTTGCCAGAGAGGCTGGATCAACTATATCCAGCTGACTGTTTTGTATATCGTCTATTACTTTATGTAAATTTTGGATGTCCCCGTCAGGGTTGGAAGCGTCCCAAACTCTGGTGAGTCCATTATAAATGCTGTTCCAATCCCATAGTGAGCTATTGTACAGGTGTGGAGTTACACCCGCTGGTATCTGGCATGACACCGAAGAGACAGATGGACCTCGAAGGGCTTCCACCTCCTTCCCTATTTTTATCACAGTGTCCTCCAAAACAGTAACTCTGGCCTCCAACTTGTTATCTATTTTATTCCTCCAGTAACAGGGAAAGAGTAAGGTTGTTAGCCAACTGTTCTACATAATCAGCCGTCTGAATGGAATTTTTTATGGACACGGCTGCAGTGACTGTATTGGCCAAGAGCACGATGAATGCTGCGAGGCCAGCAATAACGAGTCTGACTGCACGTTGTCCCCTACTTAATCCTTTATTTAGTTCCACGAGGGCTCAATTCCCTGGGTCATCATACCAGGGCCCTTCGACTGTGGTGGGAATGACTATATACGGGGGTTGATGAAGGACCAGAATAGTCTGGCCTTTGTCTTTGGGGTCAATGCAATTTGTGAGATGACAATTCTGGCAAGAGACCTTAACTGACTCCTGACCCACGATTTGAGTTAAGTGAGTCTGTATGTGGCCCACTAACAGAACATAAGGAGTCAGTACACAAGCAGCAATGGCATATTTAGTACTTTTGACCGTAAATCGATTTGGAAGGCTGTTAGGGAGGTGATAGGTGTAAATGGCCTCTGTGGCAGCAAAAAGTCTCCAGAGGTCTCTATGGGTGCATTGTATGACTCAAAAACTGGAGTAACAAATCCTCCCAGCTCTGTCTAGTCTGTTTGATTCTCAATAAACCAATCCCGTACCAGGTGGAAGGAAGCAGTTAGTTGATGCCAAATGGCCGTTGAGTGGGCACATTCTACCCCCCTGATTTCAGGTGAATGCCTGTGATTTCCTGAGGTGCACTTGGGCATAGTAGTATGTGGAGAGTCCTTACAGGGAGCACCTC